GCAATTTTTATGGAGCTATCAAGTAATGATTATGGAATATTGAAAATTGCATAAAATCAGGTGAGATTTTATATATAAGAGTTGTAGAAAGATTCAAGAATTATTCACTCTTTTTTGGTGTAAGTTGTAGAAATTCAGCCAGACTGCCTTGGACTTTATTGTGGAAGAACATTGGAAATTGTAAATGGAACTGAAATTAATGGTGATTGTGGGGTAAGTTGTACTTTTGGCAATTTTTCTAAATATTTAAAACAAGAGTATGTGGTTATTGGACATGACTAGATAAAAGGTTAGGCTGAATGTTTGCATGAATTGTTTTTATGTAAATAATCAGATAGGAAAACTAGATAAACATTTTAAATAGATTAAGGCTTTATAATAGATTGTGATAAAACTTTACAGGTATGTCCCAGAGGACAAAGAAGTGATGTCTATAAAATCTGTCGCGAATGTACAGGATCTCCAGAACGCTATGATTGGCTTTATCTTGGCTTTATGGCAATGCTGCCTCTCATTCTGCATTGGTTCTTCATTGAATGGTATTCAGGGAAAAAAAGGTAAATATTTAAGTTTTTAGTTTAATAATATTTTATTTTAAAATACACTAACTTCTCAACTCAATATGTAAAAATTAGTTATTTATAGAGCGATGCATACATATCTGTACCATTTGTCCTTCTGGATTTTAGCCTCTATTTAATTCTTGTTCATTTTAATTGTTTTTATATTTATACTTTTATTTTAATGTAAACTGCTCAGTCTATTAGACAGTGAGATGGGTGGCATATAAATTAAATAATGAATAAATACAACCCCACCTTGTGAAATATAAATTCACTACTACAATAAAAATATAAAAATATTTTTAATTCAGCTTGCTTGCTATGAAAATAGAGTTGTTTTCTTGGCAACAGTGCAGAAGCAATTTGCACAAGTACTTCTGCAACAGTGCAGAAATAGTATGTACTGGCTTTTTCCAGGTTTTTTTTTTTTCAACTTTTCGCTCTAGCCTGCAATCTTGAAATTCCATGTTTCCCATCCAAATTATAGCCTGGCCTAATTCAGCTGAGTTTCCAAGCCCAGACCAGGTGTCCCGTGTTTTGCCACCTGTTGGTACTATTATTTTAATGCATAAACTTAACCAAATCTGGCAGGCCTCAATTTATAACCAGTTGCTTAGTGTCCATTCAAAGTTACAGTGGACCTCCCTATGACTCAGTTGTGAAGATTTGATGGCTGCCCCCTGCCCACTTGTTGGTACTCAGCAATAAGCCCACATTTACAGCCATTTACAGTGTCCCGTAGTCATGTGACCATGTTTTATGATGGTTTTGCTGAAAACAGGGATTTATTTTCAGTTTTCGGCAAACTTGGCTCCACAGGGAATCATGTTGTCTTAATGACCGCAGTGTTTGCTTAACCGCTGTAGCAAAAGGTTGTAAATCAGGTTGGTCATATGGGGGGATCATTTACAACTGTTATTTACAGGTGTGATGTTCTACCTGTAGTTGTTTTTATATGCATTTATATTCAAGGTCACCTTTACTTATTTAAAACATTTATATAGCCACCAATCTTCCATCAAACTGTGCATTAAAAGCATTTGATTTTTGAAAATATTGAGAGATTTGTCAAAAGTTAACTCAATCTCCAACATTCTCTAAAATAAAACAAATAAATCTGGAAAGCCAAGGCACATCCTTCACATGGAGAAAAAGCTTAGATCCTGCCTCTGCTACTTATGAGAGAGAGAGATCATCTTGAAGGTTTTGCAACACTCCCCAAGAACGATAAGAGAATTAATGTTTTATGGCACTCAGTTATTTTGTTTTCAGTACTTATTTTATCTTTTCTCAACAGTTCCAGTGCACTTTTCCAGCACATCACTGCTTTAATTGAATGCAGTGTGGCAGCAATTGTTACCTTGCTTGTAAGTGACCCCTTGGGATCCCTGCACATCCGTTCATGCAAAGTGATGATGCTTTCTGACTGGTATACCATGCTTTACAATCCAAGCCCTGATTACGTTACCACCATTCACTGTACCCACGAAGCGGTCTATCCTCTGTGAGTATGTATTTGTAACTTCCGTACCAATGTCCTGATACTTTGAACAAAAATCAAGACCTTTTCATTGTAACAGTCACGTAATTTTTAATTGTCTATATCAGAAGCAATTTTTTTAGGTTAAGTGTGGTTTATTTCTAAATAAAATGGCATTGGTTTGCAAGTTTAATTACTGTCGCTACTGTAGTTGATTTGCAATGTAATAGCTGATGGCCAGAGGAACAGACATAAGACTGTTTTTTAAAAAAAAAAAAACTTTAGTTATAAGCAATATACTATGTAACTTTATTGCAGTACTTTTGTTTAACAAATTTGGTGCCATTCCTCATCTGTTTAGGCTTGGCAGTTAAGGAAAATGAGAATAGGGTTAAAAAAACAAATATATTGGAATACAATAGATATCCCTTTCCCATGCAAGGGGACAAGAAGTGACCATATCAAGAACTCTGATCTCTCTATAGACATAAGCCTCTAGTATGAAAGCAGAATATTGATATAATGCTATAGGAAAGACCTAGAAAGCTGCTAAAGGGAAGACATAGTCAGCTTTTAGGACAGACTGGTTGTCTTATTGCCACAATTTGAAAAGAAATTGTCAGTTATTTTGTTATGCAACTGTTTGTTCTAGGAATTTGAGGTCACAGTGTGCTAATTTTGACAACCTTCTCTTTCAGCTACACCATTGTATTCATATACTACGCATTCTGTTTAGTGTTGATGATGATGCTTCGTCCTCTGCTGGTAAAGAAGATTGCTTGTGGGCTGGGAAAGTCAGATAGATTTAAGAGCATTTATGCAGCTCTTTACTTCTTCCCAATTCTGACTGTGCTTCAGGCTGTTGGAGGCGGCTTGCTCTGTAAGTTGTTTTCTATTCTCTCTTGTACAAAACACACAGCCCAGCATGGAAGTGGCAGGACATAAACATCTTGTAAATTTAAAAAAAATAAATTTCAGTTTCCATATAAACTACAGTGGTCTGGGTTTCCTCTCACAAATTAAATCAAAACCATCATGCAATGTTTACACATTTACCATAATGTGTAAACCAGGTGATACTTATACAATGTATAGTAAATGTGAATGTAAACATGTTACTGGTAGGTGAATTCTGAGTGTCATCGCATCTTAAAAACATGGAATAAGTCTTTTAAGTACCGAGATTATAATTTTTATTCTTAAATCAGAGGATAGGAATGGAATGCATCATGTGAGGACTATTTGTAAGAGTGCTTTGCCTAGACCAGGGGTGTCAGACTCAGTTTCATTAAGGGCCACATCAGGGTTGTGTTTGACCTTGGAGTGCCAGGGTGGGTGTGGCCAGCTTGACTTCGTGTTGGGGGGTGCCTGTAGAGACCCAAGCTCTCTGCCAGTGAAAATGGGCTCCTCCGTTTTCAGCTGCCTACAACCCCGCCAGTGAAAATAGAGCTGAGGAGGGCCATTTGCAGCTCTCCTGGGCTCCATTTTAGCTGGCAGAGGCACCGTGGGCTAGTCCTTCACTGTTTCCAGATCTAAGCATCCATTTCACCGCCTTGAGTTTGACATCCCTCACTTAGACTATAACAGAATACAATATCTGATATATTTTACTGGGGGCAATTTCATTAAATCCAATGGGATTTCCTCTTGAATATAGTATTTTGAAAACTAATTGCTTACCTATCTGTTCTGTTTAACCAAGATGATAAAAGTGTATATAACATCTTCCTTTTTTCTTTCAGACTATGCTTTTCCATATATCATCATAGTGTTATCTCTTGTTACCCTAGTTGTCTATCTATCAGCTTCTGAAGTAGAAGTAAGTAAATCACTGCAACTAGCGAAATTATTAACTGTCAATAGGCTGTGAGGTTCTGGGGGCTGATTGGTTTAGTATCCTATAGGCACTAACTGTGAAAAAATGAATTATTGAATCTTTTGGAGCTATTGAACAGAAGTTTTTCTCTCTCCAGTAGTCAGGATTTTCATGAAGCTGCTGGATACTTTGGCCTGTCAGCAATGACTAGGAAAAAAAAATCTGCAAACAGTTCAAAGAAGCCTTTAAAATTTATTGAGTTTTCAAGAATGTGATCTCTCAGCCTGTTGTGCTGAGGAAGATTGTGCACTCAAACACAAACTTCCATCAAAATTCCTAAATGAATAAAAGTTAAAACATTTTGTGAAGTTTTCTCCTTTAATTATTCTAATTGATCACTGAAGCTAATCAGTTATTGCTTTGGGAGCATTACTGAGGCAGTTTATTATCAGGATGGAAAAGTTACTTCAACAGAATCCCTGAATTTCACATTCCAGCTGTACCTGTAAGTAGATTACTATAAAAATAGAAACTAATGGCAATATCTTATTTTCTATTTTTAAGACTTTCAAAGATCTGCTTGTCAGGAAGAAAAGGCTTATCGTTCTATTTAGCCATTGGCTGCTTCACGCCTACGGAATTATCTCCATTTCTAAGCTGAGCAACATTTACCAGGACTTGCCTTTGCTGGCCTTAGTGCCTGCACCAGCCCTTTTTTATTTGCTAACTGCAAAATACACAGAGCCATCTCGGATATTATCTGAGGGAGCAAATGGACGTTAATTGTAACTGATAACAGTCTGGGTAAGTAGCATATACAAGAGGGTTAGTCTTCTTAGATCCAGCTGTCCTTACCTTAGTTGTTAATTTGCTGTGGATCAACTTTCAAATAAAGTTTTTTTTTTGAGAATCAAAACTGGACAACTCTGTACCAACTGGAAGGTAAATTTTCTAAACGGTGTGGATACCCAATGTGTGTAATGCTTTGAGACTCTTTATCAGCTGCAAAAGCCAAGGACCCCTGGATAACTCTCTAGGCTGGTCTTGTATATATGTTTTATATTTGTCTGTTATGTGTGAATAATTTGTACAGCATACTTGAAAATAGTGTTATTTATTGATTTCACAGCACAGTATTTTCTCACATTGAATCTGTATTCATAGAAGAATAAAAGATTCGGTATTCTAACTTTAGTTTATAAGGCCTTGTAGTCTGTTTTATCCTAGAGAAAAAAAATCGACAGAACAGTTTTATAAACACTTTTATCTTAACAAGCATTTACGTGAGATAGAAATTGTATAGCAGCAATATTTGCTCTGCATTAAGAATTTTTGTGTGTGAAATATTTCAAATTTGAAAGAGCCAATGAAACATCTGTCCCTCTTTTACAACAAACACTTTGACAGAATTTCCATTCAAAAAGGAACACCAGAATTCAGTACTGCAAATAAATGCCTCCCTTTGATGTGATCTTTTTAAAATAGTTTCTTTCTCCAGGCAGGGGGCTAGATAGTTTCTTCAAGTAGTGAATAACCAGATATGCCAGTTATGTTTTATATTATGTTGTGTATCATTTTACGTGTAACAATATATATTTAATTTTGTGAAGCTGCTAAAGAGTTCTGAATTTGGACAGCCTTTAAATTTGACAAATGAAAAAATAAATTAATAATATGTTTGAAAGGTCTGTGGCTTTAAAAATTTGTCATGGGTCGTAGGCTCCTTCATCTGAGATTAAACACATTCTTCTCACATTTAAATCCACAAGCAGATTTTTTTTTTTAAAAACTATTAATTATAATAAACAGGAAAGAAACTATTGTCTGCCACTACTGAAACAAACAGGATTGTTTTCAGTTATAGAAAATGTTTTTAAAAGATTAATAGATCTTGGAAGTCTACACAGATTTTAGGTATATAGGTAAAAATGGCTGGTTACTGATTTTAGATTGTCTAATGGTTAAAGCTGTTTGTCTCTTATCTGTTTTTCCTTCTTTTTAAATAAACTATAGCTTAGAATATGATTGGCTTCCTATAATGTGTTACTTTAAGATACATATTTCAGAAATTCAACTGAATATTTAGTACAGATTTTAAGTTACATTGCTCTAAGGCAGAAGTAAGCAAGGTTTTTGTGAGTTACCTTTTAATTTTTTTGAGGGGTGGTGGTGGGGAAGCTAAGCAGAGTTCTACCTAAATAGTATTTGGATTGAAGACATCAGAAAATCCCAGAGCTATTGAGTAAATTAGGATGTTAAAAAAATCCAAGGAAAATAATTTTCACAGTGTTGTTCAGAAAACTGCATAGACAAAATTGCCAGAAATTGAAGGCAAAGTTATTTTTAAGAATTGCAATAGCTGGAGCAATTAGTTACACAGCTTTTTCATTAAGAGGGTGTTTTTTTTAAATCTATAATACTTTTTTATTGCATTTCTTGCTTCAAAATTTCTTCAGAATCAGAAGAAACTCTGCAAAGCCACAAAGCAACCATTTATGCAGTTCTTGGGATTTCCAGAGTTTGTATTGGAGAAACCATGTTAAAAACAACTTAATTTTTGCCTATGATTGGATTTTACCATATTTTTTTCTCTCTTAGAGATGAAAAACTCGAGTTTTATTGGTCACATAGATGATTTTTTAAAACATTTAGTAGCAACCAACCTGCATACTTTTTGTTCCTTTCTAATGTGCTAATAAAGGATATGATATTTTGTTCTGACACCCAAATAAAAAAATAATGCTAGAAAACTAGCATTTGCCGTTCCAAACTTGACAGAGTAAGACATTTTTTTCCTGGTATTCTGTGACAAACAAGCTGTGAAGAATCTGTTTTGAAGAAGGTAATTTTTGCTTTTCAAATACATACATTTAACAAACATGTGACACTTCCCCAAAATGCTTACTTTGTCAGCCTCTGGCAAAGATTTGCTTCTTAACAGAGAATCCATCTCTTCATAGTTTAGCTGTAGCCCTTCATGAACATAGTCAACCTTAACATTTCTCTTTGTATTTCTTCTGACATATTCTTCCAGAATAATCAAGAGCTCATGCTGGTACTTTAAAAATATCTGCAATAGGTTGAAAACAATGAGAAAATAGATTTTCTGTTGCAGAAAGACAACACGGATTTTCTTCACTTTTTAAAAACATATTTGGACTCTTCTAAAACATGGGTTTTGGGGGGCAGGGGAAGAGTACTGAAAGTAAGTAAGTTTGATATAAAAATAGTGGGAGAAATATACCACAATGATTCTTTAAATTTAAAATGATATGAGATCTCAAGACTGAGGATAGTTAAAAGAACCTTCTATTTAATTGGATTAATCAGTTAAATCTATTAAAAAGAGAAAGCAGCTCTCATAAATGGCTTGTTCTTAAACAATAGCTGTACTTTAAATGTCAGCAAAGCCTCACTGGGGAGAAAAAAGGCATTTTTTTCTTGCTATCATGAAGAGCAGCAGAATATGTAACAAGCTAGGTAAAGATAAAGTTTTTTTCTGTTCAGTCATGTCTGTCTCTAGGGGGCAGTACTCATGTTCGTTTCTTACTCGAGGGAGCCAGCATTATCTGAAGACACATCTGTGGTCATGTAGGCAGCATGACTATACGTCAAGGGACACAGAACGCTGTTACCATCCCACCAAACCGGTACCTATTTTTCCCATCAAAGTGGTACTTATTTATCTACTTTCATTTGCATGCTTTCAAACTGCTAGGTGAGTAGGAGCTGGGGCTCGTAACGGGAGCTCATCCCATCCCGCAGCATTCAAGCTTTTCAGCTGGCAAGCTGAGTGTCTTTAACCACAGAATTAAATTTTACTGTTTTTTTTCCATTCAAATGGTATTCTAGCCCTAGTTTATGCTAGTTATCATGAACTAGACGTTTATTTTTAATCATGTGACAGGTTGCCATTTGAAGGGAACTATGGCTGTTATTTTTCTTTTTTAATGTAAATTATTTTGCATCCTTGATACCAAATACATGAAGTACCACAGAAATGGGATTGTGCATTTTAATCTAACTGGAATTATATATCACATCCTCCTGGTTGCATCCATAAAATCAGACATTAACCAATGTCTGACTTTATGGATGTTAACCATAAATAGTCCCCCATCCAAACTCCCAACTGCCTCCAGGTAATATCATAATATACCTTTTGTAGATATTCATCCTTTGTCCATTTCTCAGCAAACAGTTCTAAAACAAGAATTTATAGTATAAATATAGATGATAATATATATTTTAAAAGAAGTAAATAACATGTTTAAATATGCAACAACATATTAAATGACATTTTAAACCACTTTTATTAAACGTGTTGGACATCCAGAATTTCTAAAAAGCAAATTAACTTAAGATTTGTTTGTTAAACGGTATCAGGGTCTATAGGAAGACATCTAATTGCTTAAAACACAGTTAAAGAAGGGGTTGTTTTGAGAGATTAATGGCACCATGAGAACCCTTAACCTTAGTTCCTTTTTAACATCTTTCACTCCTTCCTGCAGGGAAGAAACTTTTCAGTGATGTCTTTTTTTCTTAAGATTCCATAATGGTATTCAAGTTAAATCATTATTTGAAAACAAGTATCTAACAGGAATGATAATAAAAGTAATTTTCTTTATTTCTTTTATTCAAAAGAAAAAACAATTTAACAGAGAGAAAAGAAAATTTAAACCAAACATTAAAAGTGTGAATTAAAAAGGACAAAAAACAAAACACATTATTCCCCCCTAGTTGAATACTGACAAATTTAGGGCAGCAATAATAGCTTTCCCCCTTGTAAAGCAGGTCCAAAATTTGTAAGATTCTACATATATTTGCAATCTAATTGACCTGTCATACATTACATATATGAAAGAAAAAATAGTTATCAGGTTAAACAACAGCAAAGGTAAAGTTCATGGCCCTCTGTTAATAGTTTGTTATTGTAATTTACTTGTAGAAAGTCTACAACAGTTTCTTATTTACCACAAATTGATCTCTCCAGGATCATAACGAAACCTTTCCTTAGGTTTTTAATTGGGATCTTTCCCAACAATTGCATATGTGTATACAGTGTAGACCCTGCATTAAGTTTCTTCTGTGGGACAATGCTTTCCACATTTTTTTATGTTAATGCAAGATATCCATTAAGAAACCATCATATCTCAGAAAGAAAAGAGGATGCCACAGCACTGGCAATCATCTGCTACCAGTCATGTATCCACTGTGTCCATTTCTCTTTGGGCTAAAGTTCTATGTGTACAGGAACTGAGTCTCTATTTAGGAAAAATAGTCATGAAGTCATATCCTAGCATTTTTTGAGAAAAGCCACATGAATGTCCTTATTGTGGATCATTCTTCATTCATTTAAAAAAAAAACCATTTCAGCTAGAGTGGAAATTCCTGCCACAAAACACTCACCATAAAGAACTTTTTTACATTGCTGGATTTGTTGTCTCTTTAGCTGATAGGTCTTTGCCTCCTCATCTATTGTGGAGATATCTTCCTTGAGATATGCAATGCCCTATAAAGATACAGCCAAAGAAATAAAACATCCATGTAGAAGCTATTGATGCAGTCAGCCTGGCAAGATTCTTGTAAATAGGCAAGCAATAATAAAAAAAATTCTGTTCTGGTCAGTTCACAGTACCACTCTGGTTCCTTGCACCTGACATTAAACTTGCCAGACTGACTGCATTCTCTTGGGAACAGTCAGAAAAGGGTTCCAGGGATTCTGGTCAGGTCTGTGTTACTTCCTGCTATGCAAGGTCTCTAAGCTTGCCAGTTTCTTCAGTCCTCCCCCCACTCTGGCTGGACATATTGGCTTTTCTAAAATCCAAAACTGAACATCTATCCTGCAGCTTCAAATGTAAAAATATCTGTTGTGTCATGAATAAGAATTAGAGACGGTTGAAGAAAGCAAGCAAGCAAATCAGATTTAAAAAATCTCAAGCCAAACTATTGGTAACTATCCACACTGGCTATGTTTTCTTGGCAATAATTTAAAGATGGCTTGCCACTGCCTTCTTCCAAATGTTTTTCTGACTTTCCAATGTAATCTAATTCTCTAATGAAAACAAAGCTTTTTTTTTTTTTGCTTCTCTGAGATCAACTAAGACTAGCTGGGTGCTGCCAAAAACAAATCTAACATCTGTTCTTAAAGCTATAATTTTATTATTAAATAATAATAAAAGGATTACATTGATTACAATTATAGATGGATTACAATTTCTTAAAACAACATCATTTGATTATCAATGGAGGGGCCCTTCACACTCCATTACTCTCTCGAGTTACTTTCGCTTCCCATTTTCCCAAGGATTGCCTACCAATCATGTTTTCCCTTTAATCTTAAATCTCTCAGTTATCCTATGCTTTCATTCCATTATTGCAAGACATAGTCCCATTTTACTTTTATCGGTCTAAACACATCTCAAATGGATGTCTGCGTTTTCTGCTTTTCCCAGACACTTCCTGTAATCTTCCAACCAGATTATTAAATAATTATAACTGAAGAATATGCTTTATTTCTCCTTAGGGGATGGACACAGCTTTTAATGGATTATTCAAACAAAGCCAGCGAACTGCAGAAGAAAGTAGGGGTGGAACTGCTATATCTTCCTCATAAGGAGTGGAATAGCAATATCTTCCACATAATCGTGGTCTGTCTCTATACCTCTTGGGCAAAATAGCAATCCAATCATACGCAATCCATGCCCCTCTCTTCTGATATAGAAACTGCTCCTCCCATCCCATCTAACAGAATTCCAAGCTTTACACATCAGTAATTTTTAGAAATCTGATTCAAAAGATTCTCAAAAGTAAACATTGTACTATGAGATACTAAACAAATAATTAAGATTCCCCTCACATTTAAAAAAAAACTCATTGTAGAATTAATTTACTTGGAAACAAAGAGCATAGAGCATAATCAGGTATCATAACATGCATAAACTGTAATGTTATTTTAGCTAATATTTCTAGTTTGGCAACCCCATGCAAAATACATTTTTTTCTTATATAATCCAAACCACTGAAAAGTAGCAATGGGCACAAAATAGCATTTTTACAATGTCTTCCTGCTGTCTGCCATTCTAGAATTGTTAGTGTAAAATCTTACCAGATTGCCAAAAGTTGAATGCAAAACTATTCCTTTCTCAAAATACTCACAGCTCTTAACCGGGCATTCTCCCCATTCAAAATGAAGAGCATTCTGTCTATTTCATAGTTATCTCTCTCAATAAACTTAATAGAATATGTTGAACTTGTCAGTTGCTCAAATGCTTTATCTCTGCTCCTACTGAGTTCAGTCTTTGCAATTGTCTGTTGGCAAATAATGCATATTATGTAGTTATAATCTTAGGAACATAGGAAAGAGTGCTAAGAACGAAAGTTGGACAAATTCCAGCCCTAAGATTTCATAACATTTACAAAAATATTTGTATCATAAATCTTTTAAAAATGCTTGCTGACGGATGAATGCTTGGAAGAAGGAAGAAACAATTGAAATATTAGTAGGTGATTTTTCTGTTTTGAAGCTTCATTTTCAAAAGCAAGAAAGCACACCAAATTAGTATATTGAAGAATAAAACAGTAACAATATCCACAGAAAAGAAAGGTAATACCAGCAGCAATTTTACTATTATTGTACGTTTTTGTAAGTATTGCATGCAAGAAATCTTGACAATTCAGAACCATGCATTCATGCTTGTAGTTCTTTTACTGAATCACTAATAACTTGAATTATGAATTACTCTAAATAATTAAGCGATTAATGTAAAAAAATGTTAGAGTATGGCATATATAGCCAGGGAAGTCTACAATGTTTTTTTTATCAGTTTTTATAGTTTGGGCAGCCTAAGATTACTAGTTCATTTGTTCACGCATGAATACTACCTACAGTGCACCACAGGGGATGAACTAGCTTTGCACCAGCTGGTTGGCAGCGTTTGGGAGATGTCAGTTCCTTCGGGCTTTCTTCTGCTGACTTCACCTTGCATCTGAGTAGGTTCGGCACCAGCTCCTGCTTCCACTTGGAGTGCTACTAGCTTTTCCCACCAGAGTGGCACCTATTTATCCACTTAAATATTTATATGCTTTTGAATTGCTAGGTGGGTAGGAGCTAGGGACAAATGATGAGATCTCACTTGACCATACAATGCCTTGGGCTCTAACTGCTGCTGACCATCTCCAGCTAACAAATCCAACATCTTTAAGCTGCTGCACCACCATATCTCTGATTAATGTAATAATTAACACAGTACTTAGTTTTAATCACCACTGATATAATTTCCCAGTACTGATCTGTGTCAGCTTTTCACTCAGTAGCAAGTGACAGAGAATAAGGATTAATATCTTCTCCAATAATTTGTCAAGCTACAGCTTGCAATCAGCAATAAAAAGTTATTTAGAGAATGGATGCTACCTTGAATTCACTTTGATGTACTTTTATAGAATCCTTGATGCTCTCTTAACTTTTTGCAGATATTTAATTACCAAAACTTGGTAATATCACCAGTGCAAGTAAGAGTGGAGTTTGTTTCCTATTTATATGCAGCAGCTTGCCCTGCCAGTTTTCATGGGAATGTGGTTTTTCTCTTTGGTAGTTCCTTGATAGGCTATTGTTTTCTGCCTGATAGTTTGCCTTAGGTTAATGCCTATTTTATCTGGGTGTAGGCTGCTAGAGTGAATGTGTTCTGTCTACATGTGTGCCTAAAGGCCTGTTTGGAGTCTCAGAACGGTTACTGACCCATTACTGTTGAAAATTTGAGGCAGAATTTCTTATCTTTTGAGGCATAATATGCATAAAAATGTTCTATAGTAAATTTAACTTAACATGCAGTAAAAGGGAAAACAGCCTCACCTAATTTGCATCATTATTCCATCTTCTGTGGCCCCTTGTTTTTCAAAAAGTGTAAGTGGAGCCAACTTCCAAGTGAGAGAATAGAAAGGTAAAATGTTTCTAAAGGAACAGAAATAACACCGTGGCCAAGAACAATGACAAATCTGGTCCAGTGGCGTCTTTTTGAATAAGAAAACGATGAGAAATTGCCCACTTGTGCATTATATGGCTGCTCTTATGAGGAGACCATAGGACAACAGTCAGTTTGTGGGTTTGAATGCCAGAAGTCAAGAAAAACAGTAAAGCTTTCAAGCACTCTGCAGAATGTATGGGCCCTGTATTCATCAAGCTTCACTTTCTTATGTTTTGAATATAACCTTTTTAACATTCAAAAAGATCTTCCAAGCAGTAAGTGTGAAAAACTATAAGGTGAGTGACCCTTTATTTCAAAAAGAAGGCAAAAATTAATTACAAATAGACAATTTGGAAATATTTAATATTTGAAATATTGTGACTTTTGCTATAAGACTTTTTAAATAATTAAAACAAAAATAACTTTGCAAATGATAACCCAAGTGGTGATGGGTAATGACCGATTATTGGATTTGCAAAAGAGGGTTGTTAAAGCCACAAAAAAATTCTGAGATGAGAGAAAGAAAATTTGGGCGGAGCGTTTTAATGAAATAAAGGTTAAAATTATTAGAAGCAAAACAAAAGAATGTAAAATTAACCTATTTGTTCAGGGTTAAAATAAATATTTTTATAATGTTCTGAGAACTGTTTATGGATTTTTGCTGATCCTGAACAAAAACGTAATGATTTTTGAATTTGTGGTTAGATAAGGATTATAATATGGAAAGAAGTGATTTATGTAATATAATATCAAAGGAGGAAAATAAATACTAATTATGTTTATGCTTATTGAACAGAGATTGGAATGTACTTCTTTAAATATTTTTTCATTTCATTTTGTTTTCTCATATTCTTTTTCTGTCTGTACTTTTCATTTTTCATATTTCAATTTGTAATACCTTGACTAATTTTAAAATCTCTAATGAAAATTATTTTTTAAAAAAACAAAAGGTTTAAGTGGAACACACAAATAGAAAGAAACATAAGAAGCACATATTATGCCTTCTTACCTTTTGCCTTTCAAGTTTCTTAATTTCCCTTAATGATTGTTCTATGCCTACTTTAAGTGCACTTTCTTCATCTCGTAATTCTATAAGCAGAGGAGAAAAAGTTAAATTAATATAAGCTACAGTAACACAGCTTGTTAGAAGGGTTCAGGAAACAACCCACAAAATCAGAAAAAAATAATTTAGAATACTTATAAATTACTTATTAGTGAAAATTATTGGCCAATCTACTAAACAAAAAAACACCTGTACCATGCTGAAATGGATAGATTAACATTGAAAATTAAGGATAAGAATACTTTTTAACTTGGGAACTATTTTATCGATGGTTAGAAAATAGAAGCAGAAGTTAGAAACTTAGAATGGAGGACGACATGTAAAGAAAGATGAAATAAATGTGTAACTAAATAATGAAATATTGAATAATTAGGCTAAATAAACATGATTAACAGAATTAGAGGATAACGGTTATAAATGTGATGTTCATATGATATTTATAATGTTTGATATTAACCAATCGTAGATAAAGCTGAAAAGCATGTTTATTTAAATAATGGGAAATGTTTTAATAAGGATAAGTGAAGATCATGGTGAATAGATTTTGACAATAATAGTTATAGTTATTGTATGTATAAGATTTATTACTTGTATTTAAAATAGATTGTACCCAGGCAGCACACTGCCATTGTGGATACAGAAATTTTATATATAACAAAGAAAATTTCATAATAAAAAAACAAAAAAAAACGCTTGTGTCCACAATATCTAACCTAAATATGGAACTTACTGCAAAATCTAAAATAAATGTAGAGAAAACATGGTAATACAGCCTATGTAGTAGCTGTCTCATTTAGCACTATCACAAATTTTAAAAGAGAAGGAGGAACGATTTTCATTTGGCACCAAATAAAAGTAAACAGACATCAGGCACAACCAAAGTCTTCTCACTGGAAACTACCCAACGTGTTTCAGAAAGGGAGCACTCAGAAAAAATGCATTTTGATATCCTTAGTATTTGGGTTCATATTTATTTACTTGTTGTTTGTTGTTTATTTGTTTATTTGTATGTCATCTCCATCATAAAATGTCTCAGTAATTTATGTAATAGGCTTAAAATCTCAAGTAAAATGCTACCAAAATCAAATAGCAATATATGCTTCCATAGGATATATGATGAGCATCAGGGGATAATGACACAGACATATTTTGTACTTGATAACTATCAGGGAACAAGCCCTTCCTTGTCTCTCAGGGCCTGAAGACAGGTTAGGCTTTACAAGCTCAACAAGGTTGGAGCCATATGGATTTTAGGAATGACAATTCTATAGGGTAGGCACACAAGGCATGTCTCCTAGGTCCTACAAAGTGAAGTGGTTTAAAGCTGGGGCCTAGACCTCAACAATTCCTCCATATCTGATCAGTTAGAAGAAATTGGAGGAAAAAGACAGTCCCATAATGTAATTGGCAGAAACAAGAAATTTGAGAAATAGGAGAAATAGCCACAACAATACAATAATCAGATAAAATAAATCTTGAGTCCAGAGAACAGAAATGCAATTAGCAAAAATGTCTGGGACATGATTCTCGCTAGTTCTCATAAAGAAAAAGTAGAAGTGCATTCAGACTTGCAAGGTAGCCCTTTAAAGTAGACCAAATTTGGTACCAAAGACACACTGTGGCTGATCACTTCCTGGGAAGCCCTGAGCAGCCAGAACTGACATGGGTCTACAGTGTGACTTTTCCCCCGATGTTATCTAGAAAAAAATAAAATACTCAATGAAATCTAATGTACCGTTAAAAAAATAAAACTACAACTCTTAAAACTAACATGTCCACTATGCAAAATCTTATGTTTATCATAGAGAGATGGCAATGTATTGACCCTGGGATAGGCAGAATATAAGACTCCAACACTCAGGTAAATAAGATTAACATTTGGAAGAAGAAAACTATTTAAAGTTGGATGTTTTTCTTGTTTTGCACTTTGATGAATTATATAGATAAAACTTCCTATATATACCATTATAGAGATCGTTTTGCTTTGTATAATTGGTGCTTATTTCTTCTAATTCTTTTTGTAATTCTTCTGCGAGGGGAACATTCTCTTGTAGTTTTTCTTCCATTTCTTCCATACGTTTTGTTTTAGAGTTGTATTCTTCCTTTTAGGAAAGAAAACATAATGAACAATTTATATATAGACTTTATACTTCTGTAATGAGCATCCTAGTATTCTAATATGATACAACAACTGATTAATATTTACTCTGTCTATCATCTGATTGACTGATTTAGAAACCATCCAACAGCAGAATGACTCTGAATGGCTTATTCTTGGAGTAGGAAAACAATAAAAAGAATCTAGGCATCTGGACAATGACACAATAACCAACCCAGGGGTCCATATATACTTTATCCTAAAAGGAGCATAACCAGGGGTGGGATTCTACCAGTTCGCACCTATTCGCTAGAACCGGTTGTTAACATTCTAAGCAGTTCAGATAATCGGTTGTTAGAAAAAATTACTGGCCTAATCTTGTAAGGAAGGCAGGAAGGAAACATTCTGGTGTTGCTTACAGAAACTGCCTCTCCATTAACCCTTATTACATTCTTGGCAGGACTAGACTTCCTGTCTCAGGAACATCTCTGGAGTTTTTTTCCTCTCCTTTGCTGGTACTTTGCTTGTATGGAGTGACCATTCAAAGTTACAATGGCATTGAAAAAGTGACTTATGACCATTTTTCACACTTACGACTGTTGCAGCATCCCCACAGTCATGAGAGGCCAGGTGATGCGTGCCTCGATGTGAGTGATATTGAGTTGGTCACACCCATCCAATAACATGACCATCAAGCCATGTCCACCCAGTCACATGACCACCAAGCCATGCCCACCCCCTAAGCCACACCCACAGAACTGGTAGTTAAAAATTTTGAATCCCACCCCTGAGCATAACCAAGTTTTTGAAGACTTGTGGAACATCATCGGGATGAGATATTGAGTTTGCTGGGAATATTATATCTTAGGGTAGGCATTACAACAGAAAAGGCATGCCTTTGAGGGAATCTAACACATACCAATTCTACTATTATTATTAATTAAATGTATGTGTTGAAACTCTGAGCAGTTTACAAATGATTTAAAACAAGACTAAAATCACCCACCATTTTTGATTTTACTAGACAGAGACCATAAAAAACAGGCAGTCCTTAGATAACCTAGCCGTATGATATAATTGATATCCAGCACTTTGAAGTGCATTTGGAAGTCTATTGGTGTGTACAATGCAATCACCTGTGAGGTGAATTCCAGCCTGCAGAACACTGCTAGATTCAGAATCCTTGGAACGCTTAACATGATCACCTAGATTTCATAGCTGTTTCTTCTTCCAGAAGATGTCTTGGCTACAACCCCAACAAGCCACCTCTTCAATTCTCTACCTAGAAGCTCTAGTAGATTCCCCACCTGTCACCAGGTTTAATATTCCCCTATCCACAAGCAAATCCTTGTCTTCTAAAAATCTCTTACTTGAACAATCAAATTTCTCCTGCCATTTAACACAATTTAATCTTTTTTTTTGGGGGGGGGGGTCATTGACCCCACTGTCTCTCCATTCCATTTCCTGCTGGCTGCAAATCTGAGTCAGCTATTATGCTTGACTGGTATGCTGGGAATTAAAATGGAAAACAAGCAGCTGTTTCTGACATATGTTACAGGAGAAATCTGGATTTGAAATGAAATAGAAAAAACTAAAGTAATTCAAAATCCAGTTGTACCATTTCTGCTTATATCTAAATAAAATAAACTGATTAGATAAATTACTGCTATTTGTTATTCGGACTTCTACCTAACTTTAATAGCTCTTTCTGGCTTCTTTTCTCTAGTTCTCTCTCCAGTCATTTTGAATTTAGCATCAACTTGGTATCCAAGAAAGGCATGGCTTTTACTTTAAACTTTAAAGCTTTTATTTAAAGGAAGGTCACATCAAAATGCTTCAGAAAACTGAATGCTTCTCCTCGAAGCCCACAGCAAGCAAATCAAGCCACTCCAGTGGCTTAAAACCAATGCAAACTGTTGATTCACAAGCACATTCTCCTACAAGCACATTCTTCTTTAGCCATCTGATTTTTTAAAAAATGACTTCTATTCCCTTTTAATTCTAAATGGGGTGGCTAGTGATGTATTTATAGTCAAACACATTTCATAACATAAGACAGCTACAAAAATGTATCAAAATATAGATCGCTTGCCTCAATTTTTTTAATTTCTGTTGTTAAATCAGCAGCTTGCTTCTTATAATTGATTTCTTTTTTTTGCAGCTTGGAAGTGAGATGTTTGAGATGCTCAGTATGCTTCTTTATTTCTTTACTGAGACGTTCATTCTATTTGTAGAAAATATGAGAAAGAAGCAACATAAATCTGTTCTAATAATTTGCAAGTGTATATGTGCAGATGTTGAGATTTCAGGTCAGTTTGGCATTTATGGAAACAATATTTAATAAGAAAGGTTTTTTCTGCTATGAATTCTGTTCTGCATTGCAGTTTTCATTTCAATGATCAAATATTGAGAGAGAATTTACTCTAGTAGTTCTAATGTATCAACTGAAGTACTTTTCTAAATGCCTGTTTGTGTCATCATGGCATGAAGTTTTTTTTCAGGCATATTCAGGAGCCTGGCAAACAATTTGAAATGAAGACAGGCTTCAGAAGGGGAGCAAAGCCTACTTCTCATATTTCTCATTCCTGAGAAAGTGGACCTTTTCATTGATTCAAACGAAAGATAATTTTGTCTCTTCATTCCCTAAACTATTTTCATTCAACTTAAGGGTCGAGCAGACTTCTCCAGCACTGCACACCAAGGAACTTATGTATCTGTCGATCAGGGATGGTTTCATTTATATTACTGCAAATGTAACATTCTGGCTAGGAGGCACTCACATAGCAAAACACAGAACAGGAAGCTGGATCAACCAATCAGCACACAGGACATTCATCTCTGCACTTTGGGATTTGGCAGGTGTGCACATCAGGCCTTCTGCAGCCATCTGCAGCCATCTGCAACCTATGCTTACTCATCAACTCCTTCACAGTGTAGGTATGAGGTGACCCCTACCTGCAGTTGCAGGCAATTCTAAATCAAATTTTTGTTATTTTATGTCAGAAATCAAACACCCAAATCCTGCAAACTAGCATTACAGAAAAAGTGCAGAGGGTTAATATACAGCTATAATCTTATCTACCTCTCTCTTTATTCCAACATTTTTTTTAATATGTCAGAATCTATTTTTCTTTGTTCATTGGCTTATATTAAGCCTTTTGATCACTCTGCACTGGATCCAAAATCAGTCCTGACCCTTCCCTGAAATCCTTTCTTCTGTGTTACACCGACGAGTGTGATTCTCATCTTTCATCCTGTATATGAATGAAATGGCTCCAAAATGCCACATCTGTAGAAAATCTATATTACAATGTGATTTGGTGTTAGTACCCTAATAGGTATTATACCTCCTTTTTTAACTTGTTACAGGATTTTTTCATAGCTTCAAGTTTTTGTTTTGATTCGTTCAGAAATTTTTCATTGGCTTCCAGTAAATCTTGATATAGGGCTGTAATTTTGTCAAGTTCAATCTGCAACTGTTCTCTAGTAGCAAAGGAGAAAACACAATTCACAATCATTGAATAAATGAAAAGCGACCATCAAAGTTACAACAGCACTGAAAAAAGTGACTTATGACCGTTTTTCACACTTAACAACTTTTGTAGCATCGCCATGATCATGGGATCAAAATTCAGATGCTTGGCAACTGACTCACACTTATGACCGTTGCTGTGTCCCAAGGTCATGTGATCCCCTTCTGCAACCTTTTTACAAGTAAACTCAATGGGGGATGCAGATTCACTTAAGAACCATGTTAACTTATCAACTGCAGTTATTCACTTAACATCTGTGGCAAGAAGGGTCATTAAATGGGACAAAATGTCTCACTTAACAACAGAAATTTTGGGCTCAATTGTGGTTGTAAGTCAAGGATTATCTGTATTTTCACTGTACAAACTATGTGGCGTTTAACTGTGTAAAAATAATTATATGTCTATAACTAAATCTACACCTTCCATTCATCAACTATTCTACATGATCAGACCACTTTCACTCAGTTCTATGCACTCTACTTGCTTCTCTTAATTTTACAAGCTTTATCTGTATTTTATTTCATTCTCTTTACACTATACTCTTCGAACACTCCAAGTCACAATTTTAATATATCATGGTTGTCAACACAGGCCCACAATATTAGTCTCCACCATGTATTTTAGTCAATCAAGACTTTCATTTTGAGTGAGATGAAGAAAGTTATAACCTTTGGCATACCATACTACATATAGCATTCCCTTATGATGGTGCATATCACCAAAGAATAGTTACACCCCAAACAGGCTCATGTTGCTGTAGGTAAGCCAGGATCTCTAGTTCAGGGGCTACCTTGCAAACCAATTTTGCCAAACTCAGATGTGTAAGCATTGTGCTGACACGGCTCAGAACACCAGTTTGTGTTTTCAATGAACTGTGTCTCTCATATTATTGTTTTGAATGAACTCAGTTTTGAACAAGCCATTTTTGAAGGGCACAATTAGAAATAAAAGGCTGAATTTACTTCAACTTCTACTTGGTAGTTTATTATTTTTTAAAAATAGAAAGGTTATCTAGTGATCTTTATGATTGTTAACTGCCCAAAGCTTTCAGAACAGACAGCATACAAATAAAGTATTTTCGAGGAAACATGGTACTTTCAAATAAATACTGTGTTCCCCCAAAATAAGATCTATCCTGAAAATAAGCCCTGTTTTTGCACATGCATAATCCTTACATAAGCCCTATCCCCAAACTAAGCTCTACTGAGTTTGAGGGTAGGGATTATATTATTTTAATGAGTAGCCGCCCTCGCCCATTCTGTCTGGTTGCTTGTAGTGCCGCAGACGTGAGGCGAGGAGGATGGGTGGAGTTGTCCCATGTGCCCCGCATTGGCTTACCTCAGGTCGCCCGCAGCCAGGCCATTTATGCCCCCGACACCTTGCAACAGAGGCTCCACCCTCCCATCCAGCAGGACCTTGTGTCTTCTGCTTAGTTGGGTGAGCACAATAAAGCAGGAGGCTGAATGGTGTATTGGTGCCATGGCCACGAGGCAAGACAGGTATCGGGCCGTGAATGGCCTGGCTATGGGGGCCTCGAGGTACGCAGTAGCTACATTGCCCTGCCTCATGGCAGTGACACTAGCACACTGCAGAACCTCTTGCCCAGCCCTGAGCAAACAAGAAGTAGGCCTCCCAGGTACTCCCAAGTACATGGGAAAAACAAGACATCCCCAAAAACGAGACCTAGTACTTATTTTGGAGCCCCAAAGAAAACAAGACCGGGTCTTATTTTTGAGGAAACACAACTAAATACATATTATACATATATAAATAGCATTTATTTGGCAATATCTGGGGTATTGCAAATGTATACATTTTTTTCATCATACAGAGAATTGACCCCAATTTTGCTTGTCACTTCATAACAATTTTCACAGAATATTCTACCTTTTATCACTTTCTTTTTTCAATGTTGCTTCTAAAATTGCCAGTTCTCTTGCATAGTTCCTATGTGTAGAGCTGAAACAAATATATTTTTTTCAGTTGTACTTAACATAGCGTGATCAACAAAACATTGAAAATTAAAAAACCGATTAAATGAATAAATAAATAGAAATCAAACTAAGCCAAATCAATCCTTCTTAATAAATTAGGGATATGTATGTGTGAGTATGTATGTATGTATATATGTATGTATGTATGTATGTATGTATGTATGTATATATTTTAAGAAGCAATGTGTGTCTCTCTTTTTGGGGTAAGTGACCTTATGCAAAAAAGGAACTTTAACACAGAATTTTAAACATTCATAATGAATATGCAATACTATGAAAAGTCCCTTTCATACTTTGTTGGTAGAATTAAATGGAAGAGTGAATTTTAAAAAACCCTTAAAGGATTCCCCAATTACTCATTATATAGCAATATTTTGAACACTCCTATTCCCCACATTTATGATTATGCAAATAAAGATGTACTTTAATTTTCCAATGCTTTTGTTATAATAAATCTTACAACTAACATAAAAAGATTTATATGTATTTTTTGTTTTACAGCATTTTATTTATTTTATTTATGTATCAAAATTAGGGACCGCCACAGAGGTGGTATTCACCAGGTTCTGACCAGTTCTGGAGAACCAGTAGCGGAAATTTTGAGTAGTTTGGAGAACCAGCAAATACTGTCTCTGACTGGAGATTTTACAGCATCCTTCCCCTGCCACACCCACCAAGCCACATCCATGGAACTGGTAGTAAAAGAAATTGAATCCCACCACTCGACCACCTCTCTTAGTTAGAAAGTGACTCTTGTTTTATATGTTCTGGGGCAAAATGGCCAATAAGGTTAATTTAATTATTAAAGATAATTGTATAATTTTAATAATTTTTTCAAACACTTTCAAGTTAAATGAGTGACTAAATGGGTACTATCATCAGAGGAAGTACATACTAATCTATTCAGTATTTAGAATGGTTCTCCTGGTACAGAGAAACAGACATGTATGGGACCCAACTGGAAGGATATGTGACATAACAAAATGGGGATAATGAAAACGGGGGATAAAGTTAGGAGAACATGTTTGTGTATATGTGTGCATGTTTGTGTGTATGAACAAAGAAGACAGACTATGTCATTATGTTATAGCTGATCTACCTCTCATTCTAATAATAACAAAGAAAGCTAGATTCTCACAAAACGTTGTAGTTCAGGTTTAAGCAGAAAAAAAAAAGACTTAGGACACAAAATCTTAGGAACTGGACATTTTGTTTATCTTTTTCCAATCAGCATGTAAAGGAAGTTCTCTTTGATCCTGAGAGACTGGGAAGGAGGAAGGGAAGGAACTCAGGTTATGTAAGAGGCAACCGAACCAGATATGGTGGTTATGAGAAGAATCTGAAAAATATTCAGACTAAACTGACTCACTATAAGTTTGTTTCAGAAATTAAAGTTAAATTATGTTTTTAATCCCTGACTAGCATTGGATGCCTTTCACAATTCCGTATGGTTGTTGCTTCTTTGGTTTGCCAGGTACAGGGCTTAACAGATGCTTTTGATCTTTCTACCTCTTAAATATGTGAAAACAGAAAGTTGGAATTGAGGTACTTTTTTCCAAAAACAAAAACTTAGAGTTAACCCTCACTTCCTAAGGAGGAAGAGACAATGGAATAATATTTAAGTCCTAGGTGTTAATAAGAAAAGTGCTGAAGAGCTGCTGGAGAGACACATGAGCAATAGATAGCATTTTCATACTGTACATAGAAAGAGCTGTCTGCCTAATTTGTCAGCTGTCTGACTAAAGTGCTTCATGGTAAATGCAACTCTCCATTAACTGGTAGCAATGAGATATTCAAAGTTGGATCCTTAAAGAGATGGAATGTATGGTATCTTTCTTTTTCAACAAAAATGGTTATCTCATTTTACCTGCAGCAATGTATAATGATGCAATATGTGCAGTATAATACAGTGCTGTTTTACGTTTTTCAGACTTAAACCAACCAGCAAATTAAAAAATATATATTTTAAACAATGAATAATCAAATGTATATTTCCTGATTTCAAATGCAACAAGAATGTATATTTTATCTGGAACCCTTTGCACACAATCTTGTAAACTGAACATTTATTTCAATTCCATGAAACTAAATTATACTTTTGCCTGAGCTTTCATTTAGTTTTATAACAACTTGGTTGGCAAATCTTTCTCCTTAGTTACAGTATATCAGTTCTTGTTACATTTCTGCTTCGCAGAAACTTAAGAAATAGAAAATCACTTTTTAGCATGATATTTTGTACATAAGAAATGCAATAACTTACTCATATATATCCTGCATTTCATCCAGCTCCTCCTGTGTATTTTTTGTTTCTATTACACGCTTTGCCATATAGTCAAGCTTTTCTGTGAGCCAATTGGATAACTTTTCAAATCTATTTGAAAAATGAGACTTGATTAAATATTTATAAAATAATTGTTTACATGTTTTCATTTTATTAAACAAATGACTAGTCAACCATAGAAAAATGTACTTCTCTAGGGTAGCTTTCCAATAAAGACTGAGATTAAGAAAAGAATTACTCCAATCAAAATATTTAAAATCTGAGAAAATAGAGGGTAATTTGTTCATACAATCAGGAAGAGATAATCACAAAATGACAAGAATACAGGATGCAGAATGTCAAAAACATGATTTCCTACTATAATTATTCAGATAGCCTAGCATAGACTTCCAGGATCCCTTTTCCCAATTCATATAGAAGTTTTCAAGTAAACATTATTCCATGGAGGAAGGACTCAGATGAAATCATTTAGCAGTAGTACTACCAGTTCCTATTGTAGACAGTCATTGTTGTTCAGACACAACAACTCTGCCTTCAGAGCCATCCTTAACTAACAGTCAGATTAGCAATATTCAACTATTTGAAAACATCAACTTAGAATTATTAGCAGTTTTTTCCCCCTGGGAATCAATTTCCATGTTAAAACTATTTAAAAGGTAAAGATTGCCCATAATCACATGGGATAATCCATGTATCTTCTAGATTACTATATGAAAGTAGTTTGCCACTGGTTTCCTCCAGGATGTCCTTTGGCATCCCAACTTAGCTTACAGACCTGGAATTTCTTGGTGGTATTCTGTCAAATACTAACCAGGCTTGATTCTTTTGGGGATCAGCCAACATTATCAAGATGCAGTCACTAGCTGAATGCTAAGTATAGTTAGCAATAGCAACAGCACTTGCACTTATATACCACTGCACAGTGCTTTACAGCATTCTCTAGGTGGTTCAATGTCAGCATATTTCTCCCAACAATCTGGATCCTCATTTTACTGACCTTGGTAGGATGGAAGGCTGAGTCAACTTTGAGCTGGTCAGCACTGAACTCCTGGCTGTTCCAACCAACTCCACACCGTCTCATGGAATTTATTTGTTTGTTTATTTATTTATATTTCCTATAGTATAGCAATAGCAATAGCACTTAGACTTACATACAGCTTCACAGTGCTTTTTTACAGCGCTCTCTAAGCAGTTTTCAGAGTCAGCCTATTGCCTGCAACAATTTGGGTCCTCATTTTACCAACCTTGGAAGGAAGGAAGGCTGATCAACTTTGAGCTAGTGAGACCCAAACTACCAAACTGCAGGCAGCCAGTGATCAGCAGAAGTAGCCTGCAGTACTGCATTCTAACCATTGCACCACTGCGGCTCTTATATATTTTTATATTTCCTATTTTTTAACCATCTACCTCCTTCAGAGAGGAGCTCTGGGTGGTGTAAAATATAATCAATAAAATTAACATTAAAATTATAATTAATTTAAGATTAAAATATTTTAAAAATATAAAAATAACATTATAATTATAGGATATATATTTCCTAACAGAAAATAGGAGTACTTGCTTAGGTTAAATTACTGACACACCTAATATAAGGCATAGAATGGCTACCCTTGGATAATTTGAACAAAGTTTTTTTTTTCCTTGAACAAGATGGAGATATGAATTATTGTAAAATAATTATGCTAAAATAATTTTGACAACTTCAGACATACAGATTTTAAATAAAAATAACACTCCTTGTATGTGGCGAGATCCTATTTAGGTTATTATGCAGTTCAGACATGGGCTGTTTACTCGAAAGCACCTAACAATTTTATTATAATTTTAAGTACTATGGAATTAAAAACAAGTTGAAGCATTAACGTACTCTGCTGCTAGCTTGTCTCTTTCAGAACAAAAATGTTCTTCTTCACTTGTTAATATTTGGTATTGCATATTAAGAATATCATTTTCCTCCTTGACTTTTTGATAGACTTCCTGAAGTTCTTGTAGTTTCCGGGCAATCTACAAAAAATCCCAGAATGATTTATTTAACTAAAAGCTTAATGGTTCTAAAAACATTTACATTCCCATGCCTTCCAAAAGATTATAAGGTATTATTAAAGCAGGTCTTACCCCCTGAAAAATATCTTAGTCAATAAACCATTTAAGTTTTAAATTAATCCACTTTTATATTTGAAAAAAATAAATATGAATACATTAAATATATTTTACAAATGTATCTGCATCTGTTGTAACATAGATGATTAAAAGGGAGCAAAACTCCCCACAGCCTCAACCTATGCTGTAAATTGGACTAGGTAAGAGTGATTTAACACCCATTATGGGAGGACTAGAACTCACAGTCTCCTGTTTCTAATTCAGCAACATCAAGCTTTCTCTATCAGTCAATCAATAATTCAATCAATCAAATATATAAACAATTTTAACTCAACATCACAGCCACACTTCACAATGTTTTAGAAATGTTTTAATTTAGAAATAGATTTTTAAACTGAGGAATTTTTTAAAAATGTTTTTTATGATTCTCAATTGAAAGCTTTACATTTACAAGGTTGTCCAATTTCTTTGACGACTCTTAAGTGGCACACATTTTCATATGTTAGATGTAATATTACCTATTTTCCTAATTTTACTGTTTTGGACAGTTGTATACTGAAGAAATCAGCCAATAAAAAAACAGTGATTTTTTTATTGGAACAGTGTTCCAATATTTAAGGGGCTGCCACAAAGGAAAGGGGAACAGCCTATTCTCCAAAGCACATGAAGACAGAACAAGAAGCAATGGATGGAAACTAATCAAGGAGAGAACCAACCTAGAATTCTCCTGAGAGAATAATTAATTAATAAAACAGCTTGTATCCAAAAATTGTGGGTGCTCCAACAATGGAAGTTTTTAATAAGAGATTGGGCAATCATTTGTTTGAAATGGTATAGGATCTCCTGCTTGAGTAAGGAGTTGGACTATAAGCCCTCCATGATCCCGTCTAACTCTGCTATTCTATTAAACTTATGAATTACAAAGAACGTAGCTTTAAATTTAAAAGGTAAAAACACTATCAAGTTTTAAACTAAGAATACACATACATTAGGAACCAAAGTCAACACAGTATAAATGAGTGAAATTATACGCGATTATAAACCAAATTAATACCGAGAATCTATTTTAATTGGAATATTCCGTGAATTTAAAATATAGATTCCTTACATAGAAAAAAAAAACCCTAAATTTGGATGAGGTACAAATCCATGTATTAAGTCATAATACAGGATAGTTTCCAGTTAAAATTGAATTCTATATCAGTTTTATTTTTAAATTATGTAATTATTCTGGACATCAAAGAATTTGTTTAGCCATCTTTCTAAGGGAGGAATCAAATAGCCTATCCAATAAGAAGCATATCATGTCACAGTTAATATATATAAAACTAATTTAGTAGACTTTGAAGGGTTTAATAAAATTTAGTTTAATAAAATAAAATAAAAAATTGGTTTAATAAAATTCAGTAAAATATGCTAGTTGAAATGAGAATTCAATTTTAAAATCCATTTCATTCTAATATGTTGAATAATTGTGAGCATGACATTGTTAGCAGATAGTTTCCTTGTTAGTTTCATTACTGTCATTTTATTTGAAATAGTTTGACTATCAAAGTTAGTAAAGCCACTAAAAATAAATATCTCATTATATAGTTGATACAGGAATGAAAGTATCAATATACTTTAAATGATTCTATAAGAAAGCTGCCTAGTTTTGATGCTTTACAATTATTCATATCAAAATCACTTTTTTCATCTTATCCATGGTTAAAGTAATACTGATTTTTTAGTTCTTTTTTATACTTTTGTTTTTATAAAGAGATAAATAAAAACAAAAAGATCAGCTTATAGTATAAATTCATCTTGTTTGGTTTATTTTAAGTTGGCTGCATTCCGTGAATGAAAATGGAGTAATGGCATTGAAAAGAGCAAAAAAAAATCGACTTTCATGGAGAAAATAATAATTTGATTATAGAATTAATTTTCTTGGCTGAAATCAGTTACCTTTTTGCTTTTTTGAAGGGTATTGAGAATTAATCTCACTACAAAACAACAAAATAGCAATTCAGCAATAGCAATGTAGCAAAGCATCTAATACAAAAGAGTCAAACTGACTGAGCAAGGTTTAGGATTAGGGTTTGGAGCATATTTCAAATTTTAGGGTTAGTTATGGGCACTCTTTCAATTGATGGGTAGGCAATCACAAAAGAAAATGTAAACGGAGTTGTTCTTTATCACTAATCAAAACAAAGCTTTATGTTGTTGTTTTAACATGTTTTTTTTATTTTCTAAAAGTGTACCTCGTGTATATAAGGGTCAAAGTTTAGCTGAGGTTAAGATTTAGATTAAGTCTAAGTGTTCTGACCCAGGCTTCGTAAAGTAAACCGTAATTATTCACAAACTTGTTTTAAAACCAAAACCTATTTTATTGCAATGCTGGGAATTGTTTTCATTCCTAGCTGGAATTAATCTCAAACAATCCCCCAAGATATGCACACACCTTTCAGTTCTGTGAAGTGTTGCCAAAAACAGAAGTATCAAATTAACTAAAAAAGAAACCAATTGAAGTACAAGAAAAACCAACCAAACTGCAAAGAGCTTCTAGGATGACTTGGAACCAATCAAACTACTTTGCTTCCTGGAAAGGTTTTGTCATCTTTGCCTGTCCTTTATACCTTATGGGAGGGACAATCACCTCCCAGCCTTACTCCCGAGTTGCCCCTTTTGTTTCAGCTGCTCTCGCCTTCTAGTAGCTCTGCGCACATGCGTACTGGGAACAGGCTCCCCGGGTCCTCTGCCTCACTACTGCCAGACCCCAAAGGCTCCGAAAGCAGCACCCCACTTCCAGATGGTCCTAGCCCCATCTCTTCATCGGACACAGGACCCTCGTCCAAGTCCTCTCCAGACTCCCTGACTGGTCCCCGTTCTTCCCCACTGTCTGATTCCGCTGCTATCTGCACCGGCTACCGGCAAACCACAACAGTAAGAAAATGAAATCAGGCAAAGGGAGACTTAACATCTATTTAATTTCACCAAATATTATTCTTAAATTAATTTAGTTTTACTCAGGTAAATGAAATTAGGATCAATTAATAGGTTAGCAACAATACTGTTGTATTATTTCCCCATGGATTTTTCTAAACATCTTTAATTTTTTTTAGTTGCAGAAACCATGTCAATGATTTGACTATATTTCAAGAATGAAATCAGAAGATAATGTTAAGAAATATACATACTGTATATAATAGTGGAATTGATATTGAAGAAACTTCAATTACGCATAATTCCTAAGTTTCTGTCAGCAACCAGAGTTATGTGCACATAGTTACATATAAAAGAACTGCCTATACTGCTCACTTCAATGAAAGGACGGGGCAGAACTACCCTGGCCTCTTCCCACTAAATAGTTAATCGGTACAAAAATGGGCTGAGGGTCACGACCAGTATTCTTTATTTCCATTATTTCTAAACTCAGTAGCAGGATCTGTTCTTTTTACCTCCGCTAGCTGCTGTAGCAAATTTTCTTTTTCTTCATCGAAGTCTGTATCTAATGAAACTAGATTGTCCTGAAGACAAAGCCTGAAAAACAGTAATCAAAGCAAAGCACCATGTTCTTATACAGAAAGAAGCCATCAAGCACAGTTTATCTTGTGTCAGTTTACATACTTCACACAAGCATTTTTCTTTTTCAGAAAAATCAAGTTGTATAAAAATGCCAACAGAGAGATTCTGTATAATTTTTTTACAGAGAACCACTGCCTAAAAATACAAGAACTCACACCATTTGCTTTTGATGCTATATATTCCTATATGTAACACAATAATGGGTTTTCTTAACGCTAAAGATGAGCCAAATCTTGTTGCAAGATGTAATTACAGGAATTTTAGAAAAAAAAAATAGACAAATTCACTGTGGATAAATCCATCAGTGATAGTCAGTTATGATGGCAGGATACTCAAGAAACAAAGGCATCAGCTTCTGAATACCTGCTGCTGGGAAACTGAGGGAAATATATTGCCCCCATATCCTGTTTGTATGCTTCCCACAGCATTACTGTACAAATTCATAAAAATATAAATCTAACAACAGGTTGACTGCAAGCAAATCCTTTGGCTTCTGGAAAAAAAAACAGGGCCAAAACACAAGATATAAATTAACAAGCCCCTTTACATCTTTTGCAGCCTAAAGTCACAAAGGGAAATATGCAACACTTACAAATTAAATAAACTAATATGGTATTAGGGAAACACTGAACATTACATTCACACTGGATTTGCTATTAATCAGAAGTACCTTGAAGGCTTTAAAAAAAAAAAACAGAAAATTTAACATTTAAACCATTGCATTCTACTTCATGCTCAGCACAGAAATCCAAATTAATTAACTGATTAACCACTCTGGTGATATGATAATCTCTGAAGCAAATAAAAGTATTAGCATCTCTCCCTACCAATCATCTCTTATCAAAGCCTCATATATCCAGTACTTTACATCTTTCTTCAGAGGACTCACAATTCTAACCTGCTAATCATGCTCATGATTATTCTTTAAACATGTTCCAAATTCTCTGAACACTGTAAGTGTGGTGCCCAAACTAAATATATAACTTGAAATGGGATCTGACCAAAGATGAATGAAAGGGATCAATTACTTCCCATTAGTTGAAAATTATACACGGTGCTGTCTAACATTTGCCTTTCTTGAACCCATATCTCTCTGCTGGTTAATACTGTATTTATTTTGCAATCAACTATGATTCCAAGGTCTTTTCCATAAATACCATTACTGACTTTTCTTTCCTAGGTAAATAACTTTGTACTCATCACTGGGGAAGCTGACAGGCGATAGATGTGTATTAGATAACTTTCCACAATCAATCAAAGGTGAAGTGCACATGTGTTTAGGTTCATTGTATTCATTTTGATGTTAATCATTACATGTTAGTATGTTGCATGTGAATAAGAAAATCCAACTGTATGGCAGGAGAATGTATACTGCCATCTCCTGTTTAAAAGGATTAAGTAAGAAAATGTTAAAAAGCTTTTTCACCAACACGTTTTGCACATTGTACTAAATCATGATTTGTCTTAAAATCTGGTTTGTTGAGCAAATTATTGCACCCCAGTTCATATATAAGTCATGCTTCATAAAACACAACTTCTGAGTCAACATTTTTCAAATTAAGCTTATAACTTAATTTTAATGTAAATCATATTCTAATTACCATTTGCTATAGTATTTTATATCTTTTAGTGTCCAGTCAGAACTGGATAACCTGAAGGAAGGGATGGGTTTGGTAAGAAGAAGAAGAAGCCACACCCACCCAGTCACATGACCATGCCCTAGCCACACCAACAGAACCGGTTGTTAAAAAGTTTGAATCCCACCCCTGCCTGAAGGCTTGCTTTCTGCTATACACACACACACACAAACACAAACACATACACCCCAAAGAGATAAAAAAAACTCAAGTGCAATTGCAACAGAAAAGTATATCTTGTTTACCTTCTTTTAATAAGCTCCTCTTTCTCAGCCTTTTTCCTCTCATACTCTTGTATTAGATCTTTGATGGTTTTTAATATTTCTTCTAACTCCTTTTTCAAATAAGTAACAACCTATGAAAAATACAAATAAGACAATAGTATAAATGGTAACTATATAAAAAGCTAATTTTATACTGATACAGGTAATTAGTAAAAGTTCATATTGCTCCTATTAAAGTATTAAAACACTGAAATAGAGAGAGTCCTATAATTCAGATGGACAATCGGGACCAGAGTTTCCATTGCTAAGCAATGTAGTTATAAAGTGCTGTATATCTTCATGTGGCTGCATCAATTAGCAACAGTAATTGTGGCAGTCCCAGTTGCTGTCATAATTCCAGGACTGTGTGGGTTATGTAATGGGATGGGGAAGGGGATTTCCAGGCAAGCAGCTGGCGGGTACATGGGTGCCACAGGAAGTTGTCAGGGTCAGTTACTATGGAGTTCGGGTGCTGTGGAGTACTTACCGCAAGGACATGCTACAGATCACATATGAGTATATAGGTCCCCCAGGGGGTGCCAGAAGCAGGTGAAAAAGTGGTAGGACTGACTTATAATTTCCTGACAATTTCCCCATTTGACTATGCTTCTCAGAAGATGGCAGGGAATGTGGGGAATCACAATCACATGACCAAGGATTACTGAGGGCTGGATTTTTAATTGGTGAACTGGTTTAACTGATCTGTTTTTTTGAGAAGTGTTTTATGGTTGTTGTTTCTTACTTTTGATCACTGTCTATTGTTCCTTTGATAGACAGGTAGCCTTACAAATTTAATAAATACGTAAATAAAATGTTCAATATTTAACCCCTTAATGCATTGAGATGCAGTCTACCTAAGACTGTACTTATATAGTCTCAATTAATTTTATACCGGAAAAATATAATGCTCAGTGGATATGACTTTGAAATGGCACATTACCAAAGGCACAATTCAACTTACCTGATTATAATATGAAACTTTCTTCTGTAAACGACATAGTATTTTAAGCAACTCTTCAAATTCTTTCTTCTTTTCCTCAGCCTCATTTTTTCTCATCTGAAGTTTTTTCTGAAGTTCTTCAATCTACATAAAAACCAACTTTAATATAGCTAAAATTGTTACTTGTACATTATTTAGCACTTTCTATGGATCCCTCCAGCATTGTTGGAGAGATATTAAAACGGGTAAGAATTGTTTCACAAATGTTGGGATTTATGTTCATGGATATATTTTAGCAAATTATATAGTGGCAGCCTAGATTTAAGATCCCAAAATTATAATGAGCAGAAATGTTTTACATTCACATGATTGAGCAGATGTTTTTCATGTATAAGACTTCAAACTCAATTCCAGTGTACTACACTTTATGAGCAGTTTCATTTTAAACCATGGAGGACTTTTCGGAAAACCCTCTGGATGGATGTCCTCAAGACTGATGCTTTCATTAATGCAGTGCTAAGGTTCAATTTCTAAAACTGTACCTGTCGCCCTAACGATGCTTTCTTTTCTTTAAATTGAAGGGCTTCTGCAGCCATTACTTGCTTTAGGTCTTCAATGGCAATCTCTTCCATGGCCGTTTCATCTTCCTCTTTTTTTGTCATATTACGAAGTTCATTTATTTTAATGTTCATGGAATGCTTTGCAGCCATTTGTTGGTTTACTAATTGGACAATTTCATTATATTTCTCCCATGTTTGATCTTGCTCTTTACTGCCAAAAGAAAATTGTGAAGAAATCTTAAAAATGACAGTAAACAACATAAGCCAACATTCCTTCATTCATCTATCCATTCATCAACTCATCCATCCATCCATCTATTCATGCAATTAACTAACCAGTTATTTATATAGTTAGTTAGTTAGTTAGTTAGTTAGTTAGTTAGTTTGTTAGTTAGTATGCCAGCCATTACCAAAGACTCTGGATAGCTAACAATCAAGATGAGCACAAAATAAAAAACTACCCCCTTAAAAATGATAAAGTTGCCCATAATATAAACAAAATTGTTATCATCAAAATATAAAACTTAGTATATAAACAAAATTGGCAGTATCAAAATAATGTACAGAAAACATATAAATTTAAGTGCCCTTCAGTTTCAACTTTCATTTACAACGTGCCCTTCTGGTATGCTAGACAGAATAACCAAGGCTCAATTACTCTTCTGAACTCAGTAGGGAAGGAGAAGATCAGACAGAATTTCAAAATATAGTGGGTGGGAGGGAAGTAACAATCCTAGACAGTACTGACTTTATTTGATCTGATTTAATGGTCAAATTAATTTGGCGAAAGCACATCCTTGGATAATCTGGTCCAGAACCATGTAAGGCCATCAAGGTGACAACAAGGATCTGGAAGCCAAATAGTAACCAATAATAATAATAATCCCAAAGCAGTGGGTTCATCTTATTATACTGAACTGGGATACTCGCTATTGTTCGACTATCACACTTTGTACCAGTTGTACCTTCCAAATGCTTTCTAAGGACAACCCCGTGTGGAACACATTATAAAAACCCAAGTAAGAGATGTTTAAGACCTGACTGACTACAAATCTCCCTGGCCACAAGTACTACCTATTGATTGAATAGGAGCTGTGAATCCAGGATCTGCCAAGTGCAAACCAACTCTGAACATAGGAATACCAATCATTCATAGTCAAAGATAATATTTATTGGAATCATAAACTCAAAGTCACTTTTCTGCAGGGATTCACTTCAAGTCTGTTCTTTCTCATCTAGACCCTAAAAGCCTCAGAGTATTGGTTCAGCTTTCTATTGAATCACCTCTGTGGTCAAGGACTCATATATATATATAGGTTAGGGTTAGAGTTAGGGCCTCTGGAAGGAGTAACACCACTACAAAACAGCGCCCAGTACTCCAGTCTTACCAAGGCACTCCAGAAGGATACCATGGTAAATGGTACTAAAAACTATTGAGAAATTGAGGACTTGAAGGTTGCAGGCACCCCTCTGATCCTGGTCTCTCTAAAGGTCATCAACAAGTGTGACCAATGTAGTTTCTAGGCTACATGCTATCTTGAAAGTTGAAACCCATTGCCAAGGGCTGATAACATTGTTACATCTCTATAGTATGCTATGCAAAGAGGAAACACCACAAATATTAAAAATAATTTTTCCCAACAGTGGATTTCACATACTTCCTTATAAAATTTAGCAGAAATAAGATAGAAATTATGTTACTGTTTCTCAAATGCACATATTTCATAAACACTGAAACTAATTGTTGAAGCTTTCAGTTAGATGTTCCATGCTTTTTTAAAATTTTGTACAAGTTATTTTAGGTAAGTAAAATAATAGTAGAGAGTACATGGACCTTAGGGTAAGGAATTGAATATTATAATTGCTCATTTTTACAAGCAAATAGTGCCTACCATAGTGTTTCATTTTGTTCTTCAAAGAGCATTTGCTTTGTGTACACCTCTTCTACTGCAGCAATAGTTTCATTCATAGAAGCTTCTACTTCTCTTAACTTGTTAAGATGAAATCGATGGGCAGCAGCCACAAGTTCTAAAATAAGGAATTTTAAAACAGAAAGACAGAAAGAAATAAAATATTAAATCCATTTTTAATGTTTCTATAAATTACCAGATCTCTGTGGTAACTTGAATTGCCGAATGAATCATCTAGAAATTATAGAAGTCCCAGGGAAACAAGGCCTCGATAAAACACTGACTCTAAAGGCTAGCCACACTGAAGTGGTAGTTGGACTTAGTCTTCATTCTGTCTGGATATTCCAGTTATACTGAATAGATCTGTTTCCACAGAAACAAGTCCTTGAAAATACTGATGTCTTGAAAGCTGGAATATCAAAAAAAATAAACCTTTTTTATTACTTGCCAGATAATATTGATGAACTCCACATGTGGAGCTTCAAATATATGCAATGTTTCATGTTCCATGAATTTCTTGATCTTCTTTTAAAGCAGTTATTTTTCCATATTCACCTTCACTTGTTCTAATACCTCTTCAGCCAAAGATTCAAGCAAACAAGCAAAGGATCCGTAGTATATTCCTATACTTCCAATACTTAGAAAATCTTGGTAATATTTAAATGCATTAGGGCCAAACAACCTAATTCACTCCTGGCTCTCTATCACAAACTTTATCTGGTCTTCTATAGGATTCATCCTTTCAGATCATTAATAAGAGTTTAAAAGAAGTTGCTGTCTTGAACAGTAGGTTATTAAAACTTAATCCTTTTTATCAGATCAGTTTGGAGATGTGTTAGTGGAGATCTGGGATTAAGCAGTATGTAAACCGCAGGTATGTATTGATTTCACATTTTTTTCTAAATCAGGTATAAATAATAAAACTATTTATATAATGTTTCTTAGTTTCCTCTTTTAATACTTAAAAATTATAGCTTAATTTCTATGATCCAAATCCAAATATTAATCAAAATAAGTTATATAAAGCTGTCTGCCAACCTGCATAGTTCTTAAAATAAATTATCATAATTAGCAAATTAATCATAAGTTGCATTCTCAAATGCATTTTACTTTAAGATAAAATGGATGATCTTAAAAATACCTTCAAATTCTTTCATAACAATTGCTGGGAAACTCTTGACTCTGATACGGAGATTACAGTTTTTTATGGTCTCTTCTTCCAACAATTCAATTGTATCTTTTCTCTCCTTTTCCTAAAAATTGACAGATATATGACAAAGGAAAAAAAATCTGATGGCTGTATCTTTCCTAAACTCTTTAGGTGCAGACTTTTTTTTTGTAGTGATAAAGTTAATGTAAAAGAATTATTGCTTAGATCTCTAATAAATTTCAGTAAATGGGGCAAGGCAATCTGAAGTTACAGTGGACTTCTCCAGAACTACTTGACCCAGTTTTGAAATTCCAATGGCTGCCCCTCCACAAGGTGACATTATCGCATTTTGGGCACTTGGCAACTGGCCCACATATCCTAGTTATATTTACTATGGTTTTTGGCTTTTTTCTCCCAAAACTGGCATTTATTTCCAGTTTCCATTAAAAAAAAAAGCCCATTGGCTTAAATGCATGTATTTAATGACTACTTAATGACCACAGCATTTGCGTAATGACTGCCCCATGAAAGGCCATAAAATTAGGTTAGGTCACATGGTGACCCGCTTAATGACTATCATGAGTTATGACCGTATTTCTGGGCTCAATTATGGTCATAAGTCGAGAACTACCTGTATTCTTTCCTCCCCTCTCCCCCTCCAGACTGTGGGAGATATGGCATGACTAAATATTGTCACCAAGTTTAATAGAATACTAATTTTGAAATCAGATTTGAATCCAGCACTGCCTGGAAAAGCAAGTTGAACAGAGGGCATGGGAGAGAAGATGAGTTGTAAGGTACATTGTGTTTTTTAAAAAAGCTCACCATTATCCTAGCAGAGATCTTCTTTTTACAGCAACACTGAACTCTAATAAGAGTACATCCAGGACACAAATATTTATCCATAGATTCATTGCAAGACTATTTAGTCTAACTCAAATTTTGAAAGCACAACACATGTACTTTTTAAATATCTAGAGAATACTTTTTTAGATTTTGATATTACCAATTTTTTAATGGCTTTGACAGCATCTTCAAGGTGCTGTACAGTTTCTTTGTTGAATAGTAGTCTTTCATTCTGAAGCTGTTTTTCTAAATAAAAAGGAAGAACAAAGAAACCTGACTTCAAAATACTTTTCAGTTTTCAATCACATTAAGTAAAATAATGCTTTGCAACTTGGAAGTTAACTTCACAGTTATTAGTTTCACATTTTAGTTGCAGAATGAATTCTGGGAGTTCTCAGCCAAATAATCATTGATGGGACCTATTGTGTAAGGACAGAAGATACTAAGCCAGCACATTCAAAAGGGGGTGGGGCAATTAGTTCAATATGCTGCAATTTCCCCAAGTAGTGCTATATGTATGTTAAATAATATTGTCAAGATTTAGCCATTCAAATAGAACTTGAGAGGTTTTGATAAATTGACAAGAAAATCGAGGAATTCTGAATATGTAATACTGAAGAATTTCAGTGATTCAAGAACTAGTCCTATTTATAGAAACAAGTTCCTAATCTTCTTTCTTCCCTAACTATGTAGCAAACTACACCACCACCACTACCCCTTTGAATAAACTTTTCACACTGTTTTTACTGACATTTTGAGAAACCATGAAATACAACTCTCGCACGTGGGAGAGAGAGCTGAGTCATGCATGCAGTGCCTGACATTGGTATGGCCAAGGACTTAAGAGACTTCCCCTTTAAGTATCCAATGTATTTCTGATTCAGGTAGTGCTCTTGCAAATTGTTCAGAAGGATGCCTTGGTCAGTTGTATAGAATGTTGCTGAGAGGGAACTGAAAGGACCAGGACCACATTCCTTCCACTGAGTTTCTGAAGAAAATCAGCCACAAAAGTGACCACTGCAGTTTCAGTTCATATCTGGTCCTGAACCCCATCTACCAGGTATCCATGTACTCTATTTCTTCTAGGATCATTTGCAGCCCAAGTTTAGACTCTTTTTCCAAAACTTTCTATAAAAAAAGAAAGGTGGAGACTTATTCAATTTGTTTATTACTTTTGGATTAAGAGGGAGGAATCGCAGTATTATTGTCAAGACAGCATGCACCACTCCCTCTTTCAAAGAGACACTGATTGTCTTTTGAACCCAGAAGCTCACTTCCACTTTTTACTGCTTAAAAAAATGAAGTAGCCATAGTCATGCAGCCTGTCTACAATATTAGAAGTCTACAAGCTGAGAAAACCCCAGATCACTACTCAAGGTCTTGATCAAATTATCTTTAGTGGTTCTGCCAAAGGAAAGTCAAGAGCTGAACTAATATGACCAATTTGTTTAAGATAAAGGTAAATGTTTCCCTGTATAGTTGTGTCTGACTCTAGAGAACAGTGCTCATCTCAGTGCTCATCCCTCAGTAATGGAGCCAACATTGTTCGAAGACATTATCCATAGTCATGTAGTCAGAATGGCTATATGCCAAAAGTAACAGCATTCTGTGCTGTTACCTTCCCACTTAAGTTGTACTCGCATTTTGTAATCTACTTGCATTTACATGTTTTTAATTGCTAGATGGGCTATTTGTTTAATCAAGTTTGCAATTTATTTAACAAAATGCAAACAATTCCTCTCAGAAAGTTCACCTTTATTGGGTCATTGGATGGTACTCTGCTCACAAGGGCAGAGAAATGCTGATGCTTCATTGCGCATTACCCTAGCATGGTTTTCTAACATATGAAAACCTATGTTTCTTATTTTTCTTTTCCATTACTCTAAGTATTGTCTCTGCTCCTTCAGCTCCCCTAATTTCTTTGTAAACAAGCAAGTACCACAGAGCCTGAGAGCAAAGAATGGTCATCCAGGACCAATCCTTGTTACTCTCTGGAATTCAGAATTCAGAGAGTATTGAATTCTGGCATTCAGCAAAATCTGAATTCCCAAAATAGACTTGGGATGTTGCCAAACTCCCTACCACATTGCTAAGAAAATATTTAAAAACTTGCTAGAATGGACTGATAAGATATCTGAGGTGAGTCAACGTAATTGTTGTGCCCCCACCCATTGACATCAGTTTTAGTATTGACAATGTTGACCAGGAAATCATTAGACTGTGACAAAAGACTGATTTAATGTCTTCCACTTCTCCATGTATACGTTTTTATATGTCTTCAATCCCCAGATGCACATGATGTAATCTCTCTCTTCTCTGAGAGCTTAGAGGAAGGTAGATTGTATATACATTTCTGATAGCTTCTATGCACCCTTTCTTGCGAACCACTGAGTAGTTTTAAATAGTTCCTAAAGCTCATGCACTGTATATATTCATTTAAGTGTCAAGATCTTTGAGTTCAATTCTAAGTAGAAGGTCTGAAGTCCACAGAATAACAGTTGCCTGTCCATGTATGATAGTTCTCAATAAGGATGAAACTATGGTGCAATGCATGAAAAATAGAGAAAGTGACACATAGCCTGCTATAGAGGCAAAATTTTGAGAGAATATAATTCTTTATTGGAATAGAATTCTTTATTGGCCAAGTGTGATTGGACACACAAGAAATTTGTCTTGGTGCAAATGCTCTCAGTGTACATAATAGAAAAGATACATTCGTCAAGAATCATAAGGTACACTTTGTTTTGAAAGGTTTCCCCATATGCAGCAATTAAAATAATATCAGAATAAAGATAACTTCAAAGACAAAACAAAATAGTTTTCAAATGCAAGTTCTTAGTACAAGAGATTATGAACTAGATGAGAAAATAATATTCAAGTGCAAAATGCCAGAAAGCATAATAAGAACACTAGGCTACAACTGGCTATGCTTGTGAAATTTAATGCTTAAGTCACATTGCAATTAATTAACAATAATGCACTTCGTCTGGTCAGATAAAATGTAAACTGGTGAAATATGTATTGGGATAGATAAAATGTAAACTGGTGAAATATGTATTGGGATACATGTATGTCAGTAACCAAGTGAACATTTTAATTCATAATGAATAATAACTGCAAATCTGCATGTTTAATATTTCCTGATGTCTAAATAAGTAAGAACAAGCAACATCTGAAATATTATAAAGACTTGATTTATGTCTCTCCATGTGACAATATATTCATCAAGTATACCATATATGGTTGGCGGATGAAGACCTGGGTTCAGCAGAGAAAGGCATAGGATAAAGACAATGAGAAGGAAAGGAATGAGACTCTATGCTACAATGTTAAAATTCCATACATCTTTTTGAAAAATAAATTCACAATTTACAGGGTTTTTTTTACTACAAATTATCTCAGTATATTTTCTCACCCAGCATTGGAAAGGCCCTGCAATGAAGAATACCTTGTGTTTCCATATAAAATGCCCATTTCTCAATCTCTGCCTCTCCACATATAAAATTCCCAAAATTTGGATCCCTCCCATGTTGCCAAGTTCATTGGCTCAAATGATGTAGAGTGTAGACCCAAGCCCCTATTTCTAAAGAGATTAAGGGAGGGGAGGGGGGGAGGGCGCAAAGATGAATTAATGGAAGATAAATCTAAGAATTGGATATATAACATGTGTGGAGGGTGCCATCCCCTCACCAAGGCTATAACTGAATCTAGGTTTAATCCTTGCGGGGGAAACAGTAGTGACAACATAAGGTGCCTTATTGCTTTGCGTTTATATTTCACAGGAGAGAAGAGAGAAAAATATCCTCTCAATATTAAGACATGCTGAAAAGGTGAACTGGCAAATCATTCCCTTCTCCCAGGTCCGAGGAAGCGGCGATTCTTTCTCCCTTCCCCGCGGGAGCGCCACCAGCTCTCTTCCCACGTTGGAGTCCCTCTCACTCGCACTTTCAAGATGGCCACGCGCAAGCTTTCAAACACGGGAGCCTCACAGCTCTGCCTAAGCAACCGCGGAGGAAGGAAAGCGCTCACCCACGCCTTGCAGATGCTTCAGTGCCGCCGCCGCAGACTCGGAACAGCGGGACGAGTGAGAAGAAGGCGCCATCATCCCACCTCCACACTCCGAGCCAGACCGCGCGGGCGGTTACTATGACAACCGGAGCCGGCTGGCCTTGCGCGTGCCTCGCAAGACCCGTTCTGTTGTTGCTGTTCCAAAGCCGCCGAGGAAAAATGACAGGGGCGGATTTAAAAAATGCTCTGTCTTTTATATATTTATTTATTCCGCTCCTTTCATTTGGAACCGAAAAACTGCAATACGCTTGGGGATGGGGGTAGGGGGCGGTGGGGAGAAGGTGGGGGGGGGTTTGCAACACTGGGGAGGGTCTTTTAATAAATATGAAAGAATCCTGGAATTCTTATGAGTCAGTAAGCAACCAGTTGTAAGCGTGTTTTCCTTTCTTGCGTTTAAATAATTATATCAGGGTTTACTTAAAGAATAATATACAACCAAAGGCATTTTTGTTTCCAGATAGTTGCTGAAATTGTAGTCTTGTTTATGTGATTTTTCTGTGTCTACAGTTAATCTAGGAATGGGCTATAAAATGATAAAATGGGCATTGCACAGAACTATGAATGCATTTTTAGCTGATGCTTTTTAGCAATGCAACAAAATCCGTTATACTTGGCATAACATCTTTTTTTTAATGAAAGTTATTTTAGTGGTTCACCTAGGCATTTGAGAATTTAAGAAATTTATTCAAGAGGGGCTCTTAAAGATAAATGAACATGATCAACAGGTACTTTAGGCAGAGTGCCTAAAGTCACACACACAATATATATAAATTATTAAAAGTAAAATAATAGCTAAAACTACCTTACGGGCCAAAAGCTTGCTGAAACAACACAGGTTTGGCTAGTTTATGGAATGTCAGCAGGGTATATTTCGGTACCTCTAGGGAGAGAAAGAATGGTGCTGGTGCTGAAATGGCCTATAACCATCCTGGTGGGGGCGGGGTGGGGGATAGCAAAAAGATGATGGAGCTGTGATGAAGACTTTTCCTTTGCATGCAACGCATATTAAAAGGGGTGGACTTCAGTTGTGCAGGCACAGCTGCCATCTTGGCTTTTTCACTTCTCTCTGGATATTCCTGCAGCTCATGTACCTCTGTTGGAAGGGGAACCCACAATTGGGCCCTCTGATCATTATATCAAATCAGATTTTTGTATTAAACGCAGACAACATGACATCTTCAGGGAGCTTCTGAATCACCTACTAACTAGAGGCTGCTGCTGCTTTAAGAAATTAAGGACATGAACACTTTGCCTTCAGCTGACTTTCATCCTACTGTGGATGTAGCTTGTGCTCATGTCTTCCTATTTTGTTTCGGCAGTGGAGTTCCCTCATACTGGATGGCACAAGTGTAATGCACTCTGCTGAATGGCCTGGAGGTAAGCATGCTGGCAATGGGTTGCCCTGTTTCTGTTGGCCATCTGAGGACACAGTAGACATACCTACAGCTATGGTTCCAGATTGATTCTGGGGAACTGTTCAACTATTGGCAGTAGGAGGATCAGGGCTTTCCCCACTACCAAATTGTCATCTCTTCCACTTGTCACCCGTTAGAGGAAAAGTTATATGGAGGGAAAGAAGAATGGGAAGATCTTTTGGGTGCCAGCTCAACCACCAAGAAAATCTCGTTCCCCCCACCAAAGGAAAGGAACCAAAGGGATAAGAAAGGAAGTAGATAACCAGTAAAGAAATTGGTTATTCTCTGCCCGCATTTTTATCTGGGGGAAGGAGAAACGGAAAGAAGTGTCAGAAGCAGCTTTCATGTCAGGAGCTGCCTCCAAACAAAACATCCCTGCCATCTCTCTCCTTCCTTCCTCTATCCCATACTCCCGGTACAAACAGAAAACTGCTTCATTGCTGAAGCAGAACAAGGATGGAAGAACCTTATTCAACATTTTTTTTTTGAGAAGACATACTTCTTGATCAGCTCCTGAACTAGATGACAGCATTTAATGCTGCTGTGCATAATAGGTACAGAAACAAACATCACAATCTATCCTCGTTTCATTACTGAAAATAAGTGCTTGGGAAACAGAAACTTTTGCAGGATTCACTTTGACGAAAAATATATTTGTACTGATTGCAAATGGTAGTATTAGTATATTTTTTCATAAAAATATACTAATGTATATAACTCTTGTGTGTTATCTAGAACAAAGGTCTCCAACCCTGGGCAGTGGACTGGTACCAGTCTGTATCCTTTTAAATACTGGGACACCCACATGGCAGCAAGTCAACAAAGCTGCATCTGCAGGATCTAAGTTGAACTACCTGGCTCATGAAAAAATTGTCTTCCACGAAACTGGTCTCTGGTGGCAGAAAGGTTGGGGATCCAGAGCATGAGCTGAAAGTTAAACCATGTAACATTACACAGTTGAAAAAACTTGGGAAAAATATTTATAGTATTCAATGGATTAATATCCTTTCCCTCTAAACGTCCAAGTTTAATCCCCATTTTCTTCTGGATAACATGTATAAAAAGTGAGCCTTAAACCTACTTCAATGCTGAATTAGACACACCCATGGTCTGGCTTGTAAGGCAATTTTTTATGTTCCTATTTTACAAAATGGGATATTTTTCTTGTTATATGTATGAAATTATTTATCCAATTTATTAAAAAGACATGATTCCAAAATATTTAATACATACTTCAGGCTGCAATTCTATGTTTCTCTCATAATACATAACACTGAGTCACAAAACATCAATGTGATAAAAATGGGCATGTCTATTGTACTGGCATGTACGTCTGTAAATCATTTTTGACAGCAATCTCCAGATCCAGTTATGAACTAGCTCCCCTGGCAACTGGAATGAATAAAACTAGATTTCTGAAAAATACTATCTAGTCCCAGTGCTGCTCAGAAAATGTTAAAAGCAGATTCCTCAGTAGAATCCAAGAGCTATTAGCAATTTTGTGATAGACAGAAAGTAGTACAATATATAAATTCATAGTATTTATGTGATAATGACTGAGAGCAAAATGGCAAGAAGACCTTTAACATTTAGTAACATTTATTTCTGCATTCAGTATCAAGTACATAAGTGCAAATATTTAAGAATCCATAATTAAATCCTACAGAGAACGTCATACAAATTTGTGATACATATTACAAGCTGGAAGTTTTAATTTTCCCATACATGTAATCAGACCACTGATCCTTAAAGAGCAAATAAATAAAAAAAACCAAAAAAGAAAACAAAAGGTACTGGGTGTGTAGGTTTTATTTTCAATTTCTTAAGAGAGTTATACAAAATGAATTATGCCATTTAAGTACTGATTGCTCCTTGGCTTGTTTTTTAATTAGATGTGCCAAAATAGAAACAATGACACTTGAAGACTCAGTCTATGATTCTAAATAGTCAAGATAAAGCCAACCAGCAAACCCAGTGGACGTAGAAGCAAAACTGCATCAGTGCACTAAGCAGGAAAGCCCTAGCCACATGTAACATTCAGAGTTATTTAAGCGATGCTGATAGAAGAAATAATAGTAGAAGCACTAGATAATAAAAAATTGAAAGTTCAATAGTAACTTTAGGTTCTCACCATCATGCACTTAAGAAGCAACACAAGAACCACACCTAGAACACTTTTCTCTTTACTATACTTTAGTGCTTGACACACATGATTGCAAATAGTCTAAGATAGTACAGAAACAGCAGGAGAAGTATGGGGGGAGAGAAGCTGTTTCATTATTTCACATCTCTGAGATCATGGTGTTTGACAAAGAAGAGTGAAGACAAATATAACACATTCAGAGCAATGGTGTCATTCCAGCAGCACCCTCACTACATTGAATCCAAACTTCCGTTTTTCCCCCCAGGATGGAACTGGAAAAGAAAAAAAAAGTTCTGCAAATTTGAAGCAGAAGCTGGCTGTACACAGTGCTGATTGGCTGCTTTCTCATGATGTCACCCAAATGTTCTCTTTGCAATCCCTAAAATAACTTTACATTTTCAAAGAAGTGGTATGTTGTGGTATGTTGTATGGATATATAGCTAGCTATATAAAAAGAAATGAACAAAAATCCGTGGATATTTATGCAGTGCTCTCATTTTTTGGATAGCCGGAAAGCCAGCCTGAAGAACAGGGAAGAAAAAGACTAAAGGCAGGTAATGAGCCCATTTTCCTGGCATTTATGCCTTATTTTGGTTGTGAATTTCAGAGAAAGCCAGGCTCGACCTATGATTGTAGGGCATGCTGCAACACTGACTTTTTCTATTTTACATCTGCCTTCACCCAGAGAGAAAGAGAGAGAGCAAGCAAGAAAAAGAGAGATGAATAATAAATTATAAGTAAAAAGAACAGAGCTGTTTTCATCCCAGACTCTCTTATCATTCACTCCTGTAGTTGATAGATTCTTGCTGCTATACTTTTACTCAGCCTTCCTCTTAGCGCCTGGGATTTTGGCTTGGATTCTGGAGGTTGAAAAAATAAGATTACAAAAAAAATGAAAATTAGACACACAGAATAGCTATTTCACTACATAATTAATTTTCTCTGCTTGAAACTAATCCCCAGGTAGAATTTCTTTCACTCAGAAACGTTCATTATGAGCTACAGTCATCATAAATGGAAAGAGCTTCTTTTCTATTTAAAACCTGGATGGTTGCACAATCTCTGAGGAATCTTTTTTGAATTATTTCTAGAGCATTACACACCCCTAAAAGAAAGTACATCAACAGATGAAACTTAGAGGAATAATTATTTTCTAGGGCAGCAGGAAATATTTTGCTGTAGAAGTATAAGGAATGTTTAAGGAGGTGTTATCTCTAATAGTTGCAAGAGGTGAATCAGAAAAGGATTTTTAGGAAATTTGGGGCATTAAAAATAATGTAGTGATCTGGAACAATGCAGGAGTATATGATCACCCATAGAGCTATAGTTATCACTCCTTAATGTAATATTGTCATTATGTCCTAAATCAGGACAGAATACATCTTAAATCTGCAAAAACTACTGTACACATTACTCAAACTGCAAATTGGAGCCAGATGCAAAACTGACTTCAAATTAAAATACAGACATTTTAAT